GTGGGGAGGGGGAAGGTTGCACAAACAAAATGACACTGCAAACTAGACTAGAACACTGGAATTTCCACTTTCGCCATGAAAAAAGCTTCTAATAACTTAGAATACAATGTGCACTTTTGTTCAGTTTTCCGAGTAGGTTGCGCAGTCTTCTCTAACACACAAACACCCTCACACCCACACCTAACACATGCACGGAAATGCCACAGCAGGCGTTTATCCGGCCCACATTTGGTTTTACGAAGCCCAAGCGGATGGCTGCCGCGGCTTCAATGCTGCCAGAAAAGTGGACAAAATGCGTGACACAGCGGTGTAGAATGGGCTGCCTACCAAGAAAAGACTTCGGATATCCCCACGTTATCCACTTTAATTCCGATATCCTAACGTAATTATTCGTCTTTTTAGATACTTTCTCGACAATCGCCCGACAGTTAGTCTCTCTCTCTCTCTCTCTCTCTCTCTCTCTCTCTCTCTCTCACCCCCCCCCCTTGCGCACCACGTCATGTGCTACATGAAACATTCATGCAGGTGATCTCCACTACTACCCCGTGCTGTCTCGCGGATCGGCTCAGCGATTCTGTCTCTCTGTCCGACCGTGTGCCGAGCGTCTGTCTGCCTCCGGCAGCTTGTCGCTCCTTTTATTTCCCTTCTGCAACAGACGTGCTCGCCTGGCGACTAGCTCCGAGACAGAGATAAGATAGAGACAAACAGAGAGAAATAGCGATTGATTGATTGATTGATCGAAGGTTAACACTGAATTACAAATTTGTAGTGTGTAAATGGACACATGCAGGCACAGGTTTGTTGCCGCCTAGGTTTAAATTTAGTAACTAGCTACTTGCAATATGTCCCAATCAATGGTTCGTGATATGGTCGCTATGTCTCGGCAGTTCGATTCCCACACCGGGTTCGTTTTAGGTTTTCTGACTACAGAATTCGAAACTTTACAATACTACATTCTGGTAGAATCAAGCTATCTCTCTCGCACTGCGTCCATAGCACCGCGGTTTATTTATGAAACCTGTTGCTGTACTGGGCCGCAGGGTAGACTGCCAACCCAGCCTCGGACCTGCCCACCGCGCCCCACCCCGCCCCACCCCGCCTCACCTCAACACACTCCTTGGCCCAACCCGACCCCGCCCCTTCCTCCTGCTCCGCCTCTATGGACGAGACTCAAGTAACAACAAGTAGGACCATCAACACCAGCGTGGCTCAGCACGATTCTTGCTCCTGACGAAGCACCTTTCCCGCCTCCCTAGGGAGATGGGGACTCTTCCCCTGCTTCCTGCCTTTTTCTTCCCTCCTGTTCTTCCAATTCGCCCCTTTATCTTCAACCTCCACCCGCCCTACACGTAAAAAAAATAACTGGGATTTCACAGAGGGTTACCAGGGTTACCCGCTGTTACCCGGTAGGACCCATTTACCCGGTTCCTACCCGGGTAACCCGGGTACCCGCCGTCCGGGTTTTGAGAGCCCTACTTCAAACTCGCTCGTCGATGAATCCCAAGTCGATACATAGTGCCTGTAATTTAACAATTTTGTTTTGTAATTTTACGACACCTGTCCTGGAAAATTTTCCTTTACAACCTACCACTATTTTTCACCGTGAAGTACCTTCGTTTCCATCAGATGAATCAGCCAAATTATTACGGGAGCTGAGCGCCTGCGAGACTCGGGGTAGGCCACCCCGCGGTGCACGCGTGCACTGCAGGCAAGATGTTGCCTACCTACAAGGCGCTATAGGAGAGGTCGCACAGGGACCTCCTGCCTGAACTTGGCCGTTTCGTAACCGCAAATAGCGGACGACGTACTTTCTGGATAATCCCTTTCTGGTCACCGCGGCGCTGCTGCCGCTGCTGCTCCGGCCGCTTTGCCCTGAGAAAACAAACCCCTCCAGTCTCCCCTCCCCACTCCTCACTCCTCCTACTCTCCCCCACACACTCCTTTCCTTTTTCCCATCCGGCCAATAACTGTCTCTTTCCTCAGCTCAGCAGCTCCCTAATATACAGCCACCCCGTCGAGCGGCGCTACTCGCTCCCTCCGGCTCTGTCTTTTTATTAGCCTCCCCCCTCTCCCCCCTCCCCTACCCCTCAGAGGGGTACGGCCACTCACACGGGACCGCAGCGCACCGCCCCCTCCCTTCCCCTTTCACTATCGCCTTCCCTCTTCCCGATCAGGGCGAGCGTCGCCCCCTTGCGGATGCTTAGTATTCAGCCCCGCGGTGGTGGTAGCGGCAGCGGCATCGGACGAAACTTTGTCCACAAACCCCGCGGTGGCGTGGCGTGCAATCGTCCCATGCGCTCTCCTTGGCACAGACCGGGCATAAGGCTGGGCTCCGCGCCACGCCACATACGCTCCCTAATGGCTGCCGTGCGAATACCAAGTTACGGGCCTTACACTATTGAGGAGGGCGATGTTAGGCCAGAGGTGAATGCAACTCTTGGGTCTTCCGGTGGTGTGCAATGCCCGTGTGTGGCAAATAAGGCACGTCGAAAGCGTTTGAAGGGTGTCGAGGGTGAGAACGCACTAAAAATGGAATGGAAGGCTCTGTGCCTAAGTCCAGCGACGCACTTCTACACTGATGGCAGAGCTTGCAAATAATTTCTTCGAAATAGTAACGGATTCTTTCAAACGTTTGCAAAACCGCTAACAGTGTTCCCGAGGAACATCTAGAGAAACCATTCGATGGCGTGTAGACGTGCGTGACTGGGCACCACATAGACACAACCCGACCTCCAGTAAATTCAAGCGAAGGTACATTCCCAATTGTTATTGAATGCGTTCGATCCTGTAGTTACAGGCAGACTCCTCGGAGGGGCCACGTGTAAAACGACAGCTGACAGAAAAAGATTTATTTTTGACTTTTGTTTCTTCAAATAACTTTCAATCGCTTTCAATAGACTGCACTTCGAGACATACCTTCACCTCCTACTTGCCGGCTACCGTCAAGTCCCCCTCCTTTTTACCTCCCCCAGGCAAAAAAAACAAAAGACAAGAAAATCATTGGCCGTCACGGTGCATGCTTCGTGACGATTTTTATCGCATTTTCCAGTTTATGGTAATTATATTTTTACGGTAATTTGCGGTGCGTTCCAACATCTCCTGACGCTTGCGGCGTGGCTGGTCCCGCGGCGACAGGGTGCGGGCGCCAGCATGCGGGCGGGGCGGGGCGTGCAGCAACGACTCCCCGACAGATTAATTGCTGCCGTGTTTGCGGGGGTTGCTTGTGATTATATGAGGTCGGGTGGGGCGGGGCTTTGTGTTGTGTGCGTGTGCGTGCGTGTGTGTATGTGTGTGTGTGCTGGTGCCTATCACAAAACTGAAATAAAATATTTACAAAGAAGAATGAAATGTTCGGAAATATGGTATAAAATAGAAAAATTAAAGTCTCTCTCGCGGACAGAAAGGGGGGGTGTGGGTGGTGTGGTGGGTGGATTGGATTGTGAGTATATAGCAAACAAACCGAACGCCCCGCAGCAGCGCGCTGGAACAAAAGCGGCTTCGTGGAACAACACACAAAGACACACAGCGTCATAAAAATGAAACAAAAACAAACACACAAAAAAATCTTATTCGCGCGACGAGCGCAACGAACACCGGAAACGGAGCCCGGGTTTGGGTAAAGTGGGAGAAGGGGTAGAAGGGTGCGAGGCGTGGTGAAGCTGCGTGGCAGTGTGGTTATTCTGGAGGAGGCAGTCTTACTTTGTCTCCAGTCAAGTACTCTGCCCCCCTCCCTCTCACACGCTCGCGCGGTAGAAAGAGACCGACACGGTTGCAAAGAAACGCATCCCCGTGTCTCTTGTGAGTTCTGAAACTCTTCGCCCTCTCCCCTCCCACCTCTCCCTGGACCGGGACGGACCAGGCCGGCCCCGCCCCGCCTCAAGAATAGATTGGAATGAAAACAAACGGCCTCGTATCGACGGCCTGGTACGGACACATGGGGTGTGGGGCGGGGTCTGGCGGGGCAGGGCGGGGCGGGTCTGGGTGACTATCCTGCATCAGAAGTGATGCTGCAGCCCAAGCAAGTGTCATCGAACCCAAGAAAAGTTTCCAGGACTTTTTCTGGTTCCTCCTCACACGTATTTTATTTTGCTTTTTTTTTTCTTTCCCGACAGCCTTGTCCGAAAGAAGAGAACACCGGCCTGCGTTCCGTTCTCTCTGGACACAGTCCTTCTGACCTGACTGGTGACCCGTCCCGAACTAGGTCCGCGGCGAGGGCGCTCCCTATGGAGGTCGTTTGCCTGTTGACTCACCTGCCGGCCGGACGCGCTGGACGCGGTCTACGGCGTGGAGCTGGCCCAGGTCAGGCAGGCGCCGGAGGGTGCGCCGGTGGGTGCGCCGGAGGGTGCGCCGGGCCGGGCGCGCGGCCGCGAGGGCGGAGAGGGGCGTGGCGGCGTGGCGGCGGCGGACGTCGGGGGCGCGGCGGGGCCCGCGCTGTGCCGGTGGCAGGAGGCAGGCGAGTCGTGGTGGCTCCCTCAGCGCCCGGACGCGGACTGGCTCTGCGGGGCCAGCGCCATGGCACGCCCCGGCTCACCCCGCCACGCCGCGCCCCGCCACGCCCCACCACGCCCCGCGAAGGCAGCCGAGCAGCCGCCACCCTCGAGCAGCCAGCCGTCGCCACTTGCAAGCCGCGCCGATCCACCCCTCCTCTACATCCACGCCTGTTGCCTGTTCGTCGCCCCCTGACTCGCCCCGCCCCGCTCCAGCAGGCCCCCGCGCCCCGGCCGCGCCCCTTCGCGCCCCGCCCCGCCCACCACCCCCTGCTAAGCCGGGACAGCGCTCTAAGCCGAGCACCCCTCGGGCGGTACGAATGAATCTCTAAGCTGTTTCTGTGGCAATCACTGTGGGTCTGTGCTTGTCTCCCCGTCGACGACAGAGAAGCTGCGCTTGCTGGGCCTCTGTCTGCGCCCGTTTTCACGCTCACCCTCGTCCTCTCGTGCCGCAACGAGCTCCCGGGCTGCTCAACGGTCTGAATCTGACCTACCATTCGATGCAAAAGGGACCCTGAGTGGAGCGGGAAGCGGTGTCGTCTCTCCGCGATGTCTTTTCCAACCAACTCTTTCTGGCAGCCCACTCCCGTTCGCGTTTATAGCCCGCTGTATCTCCCTCCCTCCCACCTCCCCCCAGAGTAGCTACGGTGCGGTGGCGCTACCCCTGGCCGCACGGGGGAGCGGGGTAAGTCCATCTACATTGCACTTTGCAATTTCCCATACTCCCCGGGGCGATCAGCTGTGGGGAGCGAGGTGGTGGTGGGGGTGCGCACGGCGTGTTTACCTTGTTGTGCCGTTTGCGTTCTTACTTGTCGCGAGTTACTTTTAATTCTTTTAACTGGAAGACATTGATTTTAACGTTGTTCTCGAAGAGGCGACATTCGAAACGGCTCCCAGCTATCCACAACTACGTCTAGTGTCGTTTTGAACGTGTCGAAATGAAATTTTTCTTACAGCAACCGTTAGGTTAGCTACAATTTCCTTCTCGCTTATTTTCAATTAGATTTCTGACAGAACACTCTGATTATTGTAGTAACCCTAGTAGCTGTGGGGATTATAGATGGGCGAGGTCATTGGTGTAATTGTATTTGCGTCTTTGTGATTGCAACTATGCAAAGACTGTTGTAATAGTTGAGTTTTGCAAACAGCTGTATGTGTCCATTTCTTTTTGTTTCAGATCGCCTGCCACGACTGCTTGGTTATTTGTCTAGCAAGCAGAAAGGATACATACATGCATTGCCTCAAAGACGGCATAGTTCCATCATCCGCCAAAGTTCAATGAATCATGAGTTCATTGATGTCTCAGATGAAGTTCGATGTGCACTTTTAGAGAAGAAACCAATAGTAACACTTGAATCCGCCATTATCACTCATGGAATGCCACATCCTACTAATGTTGAGACAGCCTTTCAAGTTCAAAACATCGTTCGCCAAAATGTATGTTTGTAAGCCTGATAATTTGATTGATAAAAATATTCTTTGATTACTTTACCGTCTATTCTTTAACTTCAAACAGGGAGCAACTCCTGCTACTATTGCCATTGTTAAAGGAAGGATCAAAGTTGGTATAGATGATGAGACACTCCTTCATCTTGGAGAAGTGAAAGAAAATACTTACAAGACTTCATATCGTGACTTGCCTTTTGTGCTGTCTCAGGTAAATTAAAAAAATAAATGACTTTTTGCCTCGACAGCTTTCAGACAAAATATCAAAGGTATTTTTCTAAATATTTTTTACATTTTTTTTGTGTGTAGAAAATGAATGGAGGCACTACTGTTTCAACTACACTTGCTGTTTCTAACTCTATTGGAGTTCCAGTAATGGTGACGGGTAAGAAATTTTTGTTTTGATGTTACTCTGCCAGCTATAAATTTCTTATATTTTCTCATAATTCTTTTAGAGAGTAGGGAATAACTGACTAATGTTTTGCTTTCAATTCTGATTTAAAGGTGGTATTGGAGGAGTTCACAGAGGTGGAGAGACTACTATGGATGTCAGTGCTGACCTTATTGAACTTGGCTGCACACCTGTTGGTGTTGTTTGCAGTGGTGCTAAAAGTATTCTTGATATAGAAAGGACTTTGGAATACTTGGCAAGTATAAGATCGTAGAGTGAAACAAGGTTCTAATCCTCTGGTGCTAAAATAACCAAAAAACACCGACTTCTATTTCAATTTCAGGAAACCCAAGGAGTCTTGGTTGCCACATTTGGTTCTAATAAGGACTTTCCTGCTTTCTACTCAAGAAAGAGCGGGTTCTCTTCTCCTTACAATGTTAAAACCACAGAAGAGGCTGCAAAGTTGCTTGACATAATGAGGCACAGTGAACTCAGAAGTGGAATTGTTATTGCTGTACCAGTACCTGAGAGTAATTCTATTCCAAGTGTGTATAATTTTTAATAGTTTATTTCGTTCCTTTTTCTGTTGAATTTGAATTTTGGTAATGGAATTTATTCCATGCACTCGCTTCTTGCAGGTGATGAAATGGAAGACATAATTAAGAATGCTGTTCAAGAGGCCAATCAGAAAGGAATTAAGGGGAAGGATATTACTCCATATATACTTAGTCACGTTGCCAAAAGCACTGAGGGCCGCTCACTGAGTACAAGTATCCTTTTTTAGTCATGTTGCCATGAGTGACAGTACACTGAGTTTTAGTATTATATTAACCAACAAGTAATGTTTGTAGAATAATTTCTTAACTTTTGTGCATAGATGTTGCTCTCATTCAAAACAATGCTGCTGTTGGGGCAAAGATAGCTGTTGACCTCTCTGAACTTTGTCTCACAAGGTATGTTGACTTTCCTCATTATTTTGTTATACAATTCCATTTTATTATAGATACAATGGTTCTTGTCCTACCTCATTTTCTTCTTAATAAAAATAAATAAAATTTTACTACTATTGCAGGTCTACTCATAATACAATGCCAAGGGGAAATGGACCAACAGAGAAGAAACCAAATGTTGTAAGTTAATCCATCTTTTCTTGTTCTATAAATTGAATTGAAATATATTCCCAAACCTTTACCTTTCTTTTACTTATTTTCTCCTATATATAATTTATTTGAAGGTTGTGATTGGGGGTGCAGTTGTGGACCACATCACTAAGCTTTCCGAGCCATATAAGGTGAGTTTGATAAAAATCTTCTCTTACTGTTTTCTCCCCAACACTTTTTTGGTAGCATGTAATAAGTTATGACTGTAGTAGAGAAATAATGCACCCTTGTTTATTTGCACTATGTACATTTGATTACAAGCAACAATTGGAAGGGTCTGTTGTGAAGACTTCTTAGGGGTAATTTTTAGGTATGCTGTGCAAATCCACGCAGCAATTTATATTGTCTTTAAATTTCAATGGCGTTGACTTTTTTGTACTCACACATGCACATTTTCCGTTAGTCCTACAACGCTCGCGTAATTTGTCTAAATCTCTCTTAAACTTTACCATGAATATGGTCATGAGCTTCATTTTTATTATGAGTTTGCACTCTGATTTCTAGAAATCAAGGACCGAAAGCTTCAGCATTGTGAGAAAAATTTGAGATTTGTGGACAAAAACAGTTGATGTTTTTATATCAGTCACTATTATATGGCAGAGGATTTAATGAAACCATACGAATCATTTGGATGTACAAAATTGCTCTTGATCATGATTATAAAGGAAAACAATTACCTATACGGAAAGCTTTCTGATAAAAACAAAGGCACACTTTTTGAGATATATTTTAAATTCGATAATGAATTTGAAGGTAAATATGTCCTAAAATGTCCTCACTCCCCTATTACAAATGCGCTTGAGGTACTCTTTCAGTTTTGTAGTTCACTGCCTAAGCTGCGAATGTTCTGTGTTCTTGTAACACTTTACTTAAAGTTCCACTTTTTCTCATGATCACGTTAAGAGTTCAAAACTCCAGATCAGGTACAGTACAATTCTGTCCGAGGGAGGTCCACACTTCACTTTCTACGTTGCTCAATATAAAAAAAACTGAGCCTCTTTCCAATTTTTTATATAATTTTTTCGTCCTAAGGGAAATTGTCTTGTTAAGTTATAAAAGAAACACACACGCACACTCACATGCACAACGTTCATTCGTCACTTGTGGGTTGTCCCAGATCACACACAGTAGTAGTTCGGGAGATGTTCGGAGATGTTCGGAGGCGCCTGGACAGTGTCCACGAGGCCGCGTGGGCCCCGCTGCTGGGCAGCCGGCCGGGCGGTCTAGTCCTTCTCCTTGCCCTGCTTGGCAGCGCCCTTGGCGGGGCCCTGGCCCGTCGCTATGATCCCGAACGGGAACTGCACGTTGTCCCGGGGGAACCAGGCGGCCAACCAACGCCGTAGTCATATGTCGGTGCGGTGCCTGTTGCGCGCCAGCAGCACCCGGTTGATGTCGTGCAGCTCGTGGAGCTCGTAGTTGTTGTTGCCGTTGGAGCCCTGGCGAGTGACCTTGCCGCCGCCCTCGCCGGGGCCGCCGCCGGCCAGCCCCCCACCGGGGCCCGCCGTCTCGTCCGAGATGAGCAGCGCGCAGTGGCTGTTGGTGTCCGAGTCGTCCTGCCCGCCGTCCTGCAGCGACAGGTGGTGGTGGTGGTGGCGCTGGTGCAGCATGGGCGTGTGCTGCAGCTGCACGGGGCCGTCCGAGGAGGAGGCCTTCATGGACATGGAGGTAGTGGGGGGTGGGGGGTTCTGGTGCAGCGGCGTCGTCTGCAGGCTCTCGCCCGGCTGCATGAGCAGCGGCGTCGTGCCCGAGTCGGCGCGGCCTCTCCGCTCCTGCGGCGTCCGCGAGCTCCCTGCGAGGCAAAGCGATCGGAATGTTGTAAAGGTGCGAATTGAAAAATTGAATTGAAAATTCACACACTGGAGTATCCGGTGTACGACATGACATGACGTCGAGTCGATGGCGCCCTTGTCGACGCTCACCTATGACGGGCGAGTCGTCCTGCTGCGGCCCGCGGCCCGTGACCAGCGAGCCGTTGTTGTTGGAGAAGCGCGCCTGCTGCGCCTGCGGCCCGGGCGGAGGCGTCTTCCTGCCTTGCGGGTCCTGGTCCGGGGAGCTGAGCTGCGGCGCGGTCAGGTCGCCCTGCAGCATCCGGATCTTCTGGATCATCTCCTTGATCTCGTATCTGCGGGAGTCAAGGAAATAAGGTTAATAAGTTTATTGACCTCTGGCGGGGGGTGGGGGTGGGGATTCGTGTCCTCGACCCCAATCCTGTCTGGTGGCCATGCTGTACAGCTTGCAGGGGTAGACAAGCCGCCCACAGCCCGAACGGGGACTACTCGTTGTTGGCTACGACTACGATACAGCAGTATGCGGGTTTATCTAATTCGCCCCACCCGCCTTATAAGGCGCCGGCCCCTTGGAGTAGGCAAACCCGCAATACTGCTGAGTCGTAACCCTTTTACACGTTACATTTTCGGGTTGGGGTAGGCCAGACACCGTGATATGACTATAAAGACTCAAAGACTCTAATTTTACGAAAAAGTTCAAGTTTTTCAAAAGAAAAACTTTTTCCGAAATTTGGGAAAAAAAAAACCCAAAAGCGAGTCTTTTTTTAAAATTTTCGTTTTTTCCTTTTTTCCTTTTTTCCGCAACTTTTCCTATTTTCTTCCCGGCCTTCAAATCCGTATATATGACTCTGGCTGAGCCGCTCACCTGAGGATGCCGAGGAAGCAGACTTTGACGAAGCCCAGGATGCAGTAGCCGACGATGAAGAGCATGTCGGCGGCCGACTTGAGCCAGACGAGGAGGCGCTCCTCGCAGCCCGTGCGGTAGTAGCGCGGCGGCGGCGGCGGCGTGGGCCTCAGCACCGTGTGCGTGATGATGCGGCCGCCGCCCGTGGGCACGACGGGGCCGCCGCCGCTCAGGACGCCGCCGCCGCCGAAGCCGCCGCCCAGGCCACCCGTGCTGGCGCCGCCGCTGCCCACGCTGCTGCTGCTGACGGTGCTGCTCGCGCCGCCGCCCCCGGGGCCGGGCAGCGGCGGCGTCTCGGGCGGCGGCGGGGGCGGCAGCTCACCGCCGCAGTAGAGGTCGGCGGCGTCCAGCACCACCCCCGGGCGGCCGTCGCCCTCGGGCAGCGCGGACAGGATGTGGTACTCGTCGTCCAGCCCCACCGTGGTGGTGGACGGCGTGGACGTGGTGGTGCCTGTGGGCAGGAGAGCGTCCGTTAGTTAGTTCGACATGTTCTTGTCCTCTCAACTATTCCCTCGAAAATTTGAATAGTTTATTAACTATTATAGTTCTAGTGCTGTTCTATAGTTGCAAGAAAGTCTTAGTATTACTAAACTTTTACATGGTATTACTAAACGTTTTCCTAGTACCTGTAATACTAGGAAAATGTATTGTAACACAGGGAAACAGTTTACTAATACTGAAGAATTTCTCGATACAGCAGCACAAAACTTTGGTAGTCACTTTATGCAAATTTTCTAGTAAATATTTTAGATTGTGGTGCTGGGTGCGTATCCTCCTCACCGTAGTGGTGGAAGTTTCTGAGCGCCGCGGATCGCGGGGGCTGTGGGTAGAGATGAGGCGGCGGCACTCGGCAGCAACTCTCGGGCAGCCAGCCGTAGCTCCGGTTTAGCGCTGAGGGACAAAAACAATTTTTGAGCATTGATTTAAAAAAAATGCAGTATCCTACATAATCTATTAGGAATGTAACGTATTATAAAACATAATTATGGTATACCATAAAAAAATAAAAATGAAATAAATTGATATATAAAAATGGCCAGCCAAATTTGACCCGGACGACGCACGCCCTCCTGGCAAGCACCGCTCGTCCGCTACTCAACTCACCCGAGTAGTCGGCGGGGCCCTGGACGCCGCAGCAGCGGTTGTCGCGCTGGTAGGCGTCCCAGGTGGTCGTGAAGTACGGGTCGCCGCCGTACTCCTGGAGCAGCCGCTGGCGCAGCCAGGGCCGCAGCTCCTCGCAGATGGACTCGAAGCGGAAGAGCCACACGATGCCCACCATGCCGTCGCCGAACAGCAGCAGGAACAGCAGCAGCCAGTACACGTTGAGCAGCTTCTGGTTGAGCCGCCTCGCCCCCAGACAGCCTGCAACATGACAACCAGTTGTTGTTGCGTGGCTGTATCTCGGAATACCCCTGCTCTCCTTAATGCACTCGGCTCTTTTTGCAGAGGGTGCTCGCGTGCTTGCGAGAGAAGGAAATGTCTGAGCTCTTATACACCGACTCGAATTAAGTTCGCTCGCGCACCGCGAGTTATCATATCCTTTTGCTGCGCCGAGATCGAGGCGAGCAGTCTGCGGGGGTGGGGTGGGGCGGCGTTTTCCCGGCTGCACCGCCCCGCCCTCCCGCCCGCTCTCCCGGCTTAGAAATGACTTTGAGGAATGATTAACGAGATGGCTGCGCGGCTCACGGTGTGCGCGGCGGAAAGGGAATTCCTCTCCCGGCTCGGCCCGCGGTGCGCGAGTGTGAGTGAGTGTGCGGCGAGTGAGTGGGAGAGCGCGCGCGGAGCTCTCGTCTGTGTGGTAGTTTAGGCCCTTCGCTGGTCATTGGGGAGAGATTCACGCTCGACCCACATCAGGCGGAGCGGCGCGGCGCAGAGAATATTGTATAGTCATGAATTTTGGAAACCCCCCGTACCGTCCCGCCCACATCCTCTACCCCCCGCCCACATTTCTGCCCCTCACCCATCATCCCCGCCCGCCCCTTTTGTCATTGTTCCCTGCTGATGAGGCTGTTTGAAGCGGCGATCTCATTGTGACCCGCTCGGTCGAGCAGTTCAAGTGCGTGAGGCTGGTTGGAGTGACGTCAGGCCGGATGCCGGCGTGTTTTCTTGTTAGCCCGCCCCCTTCCTTCCTAGAGTGAAAGTTTCCGGAAAATTTCCGAAAATTTCCTAGGCTTGTTTTCCCCCAAATTTTTCGTTTTTTCCGGAAACTTTCCAGGGCTTCCAATCCTAGCCCCGCCCCCACCCCGCACGCCGGTGTGCCGCTGCCCAGCTTAGCCGCCGGTGTAGCGGTGTGGAGCGAATAGCGAATGAATTGTGAACGCGGTGGCTGCTGCCCGTGGCGCGGGACGCCTGCTGCCGTGTTGGTGGTGGCCGCGCGGAAACCCAAACTTACGGGTGTAAAACAACGGACGGCGAGGTTGTTGCTTTAACTTGCAACGACTTTCCGTCGGTGTAAAACCCGTCCTCTTTTAAAGGAGCGCCAAGAAATTGCCATTCTTTTTTCAAGTCTGCGTACATTTTTGAAGGTAGTTCTTCGTACACGTACCGTACACGGTAGCAAATTATCCCCTTCTTCTTTCGCCTGACAATGTTGTAACATATTCGAACAAATGTATAAATTATTGATCGTGTGTGATATGAAGACATGATCTGAAAATTACTTTAATGGCTTTGCAGGGGTATGACGATTTCGCACTTCTGTAGTCTAGGCACGAAAATGTCCCAAGTGTGAGAAATTTCCATGCCTTTGGCTGATGTAACGTCCTTAATCGATGCATCTTTAAAATAAATCGTATCTGTTTTTTTCCCTTTGCAAAGGCGCCAAATCCATTACCATAGTACCATCTGGAGCTGTTATGCCCTTACTTGGACCTCCTTGGCGCTTCAACTCCGCCCCCCTCCGCCCCCTTCCATCCATTTTTGTCGTCGTTCCCAATCGTTACAATTTCAGAGAGAGAGGGAGGGCGCGAGCGCGCGGCGGCGGCGTGTTGTTGGCGTTGCGATATTAGGCCACTTGCTTGCCGCCGCCAAATAGCAGACGACAAAAGAGGGCGGGTGATTTATCACATCCGGGAGGGGAGAGAGGACGAGTATCGTCATGAGGGGGCCGTGAGCTCACCCTAGGGGAGAGCGGGGCCATTAGGCTGCGTCTTGCCCGCCCAATCGGCCGGCGCGCCCCACTCTGTTCTGCGATTATGGTTTTCCGATGGGAGGAGAGGAGAGAGAGAGGCTCACCACGCGGGCCAGTCATGGACTTTTCTTACGACGACGACCACCCGGGGCCATTGGGACCTGAGAATTGTTTTCTGGTGTCGTTTTATCACCGTGATAAAATTTTGTAAGAGTTAATTACAGGAAAATTTGAAATTTAAAATTGCAAGCACTTTATGTATTGGCTTGGAATCCATTGGGATTGGCAAGCAGAAATGGGATGTAGTAAATTTACAGCATATTCTGTTAATCGTAAATATGCAGCAGGTTGTAAATTTACCAAGATACTTTCCAGAGTGTGAAGAGGCTCACCTATCATCTGGATGAAGCCGCTCTGGGAGAGCACGGCCAGGTAGCCGTAGAGGAAGGTGGGCTGCAGCAGGCTGAGGCCCGGCACGAGGCTGCGGCGCGAGTCGAAGACCACCGTGTGGCAGGCGACCACGGCGAAGCCCAGCACGCACACGAGGAGCAGGCCGTTGCACGTGTAGATCCACAGGCGGTAGTACTGCATGGCCCGGTTGTCGTAGTGATGCGTCGCGTGGTGCCCGGGGCGCGGCGCCGGCGCCGGCGGCGGCTGCAGCGGCGGCGGCGGCCCGGCTGACGCCTGCGGCTGCGGCTGGTGTTGCTGCTGCTGCTGCTGCTGCTGCTGTTGCTGCGACGGCTGCGGCTGCTGCGGCTGCTGTGGCGGCGGCGGCTGCGGCGGCAGGGGGTTTGTAGCGGCGAGGCCCGCCGGGTAGAGGCCGGTGTCCCCGATGGGGGTCACTGCGTCCAGCTGCACCACCTTCTCGTACGAGTTGGACCTGAACAGCATCAAATCGTATTATACACTGGAAAATATTTATTTCATTTTCAAATTCAGCATGGTCAAACCAAACAACATTTCACACGGTGCCAAACAAATAAAAAAATGGGGCCACATTTATGGAAGTGTTTGTGTTACAGTACCGCGTAGGTAAAGGGAAAAATAGTTTAAGATTGAGAATTTTTTTGACCTCACGCCCCTCTTCTTTGTTTTGGGTAGGGAGATGAACCATTTTCCTAGTATTTTTTAGGGAGTTCTAGTATTCTTACAGATTCTTCTAGTTTTTGTCCCCCACATATCACACTTTCACCACTGCCTCCTCCATTGCCCCCGTCCGTCGGCGTCCTCGCTTTGCACCCCTCTCGCGACCTCCATTGCACCCCGCTCCTGTTGCGTGCGACCGGTGAAGCCCCCACAGAGATGCAAATGGCAGCATTGCATGGAGGGAGCCCATTCTAGGGAAGTCTGCCGAAAATATATAATGCTTTCATGGAAGAGAAAATGTATTGCCGTCGACTCACACTCCACACAGCAGCTGGTGCAAAAAATGAAAAAAAAGAGAGAGCACAAACTTGGACTGCGCGAGTGGAATCATCGCGGGTGCTTTTGTGATACAATTTCAACGATAATAAGTAGTGCAACATTTAACTGCTTTCCTTTAAACGATCCACACTTCATGCCGATTTCAGAACTACACTGGAGGACTTTACTGAAGGGAAAGACAGTTTGTTTGTGTTCGTGTTCGTGTATGTTGGTATGTTTGTTAAGTATGACAGGTGTAGAGATATGGACAGGATCAATAGATTAGTAATACCTGTTACTAGGTGCTTAAAACAATCGCAAACGCCATAAACAAAATCCACACCATTTTTTGTTGCTGTTGTAAAATACCAAAAACGTTCTTACAGTCTGTAGTGTCTCGGGTGGCAACATGGTACGACAACCCCGTGGTGACACATTGGCGTGGTACAGCTCATGGCTCTTCTTCATCGCCGTGTCTGGCCGGAAGAGCAAAGTTTTGTTTCATTCAGCCATTTTTGTTTTGTTCACAAAAAAGGGCATACTGTTTCACTTCTGTTTACGATACTTATTGTTGCTGTTTTGCCCTTGTATGTATGTGGAGAGAGAGTGGGAGAGGCAAAGGGAGGGAGATAGAGGGAGAAAGGGAGGGAGGGAGAAAGGGAGGGAGAGAGAGAGGGAGAGGGAGAGGGAGAGGGAGAGGGAGAGAGGGGTAGATGGAGAGAGAGAGGGAGGTGTTAGTTTCCCTTGGCGTTTAAACCTCGCTCTTTGTGCGCCACTTCTTGGTGCGCCTG